GGGGCAGGGCTACCGTGGCTCCGCCCCCTGACCCTCCGCCAACCCCCCTCCCTCCCTGGCGCAGACTGGAGTACGATGCTTACCGCACAGACCTGGAGGAGCTCAGCCTGGGGCCCCGGGATGCCGGCACCCTCTGCCGCCTGGATGCCGCCCAGGCCAACTTCCAGGCCCACCGCGCCAAGTATGAGAAGCTGCGGGCGGACGTGGCTGTCAAGCTGAAGTTCCTGGAAGAGAACAAGGTGAGCTTGGCCAGCCGGGGAGGGAGGGAGGGAGGGAGGGAGGGAGGGGGCGGCTCTGGGCAAGGGCCGGGGTGCCAGGTGGAGGCTGATCTGCACCCCCCACCCCCAGGTGAAGGTGATGCACAAGCAGCTCCTGCTCTTCCACAACGCCATCTCGGCTTACTTCGCTGGGAACCAGCAGCAGCTGGAGCAGACCTTGAAGCAGTTCAACATCAAGCTGAAGAGCCCCGGGGCCGACAAGCCCTCCTGGCTGGAGGAGCAGTGAGCAGCCCCCCACCCCCCGCCGTGCTCCTCCCGCCCTTCACGGACTCGGGTGGGGGGGGAGGGAGGGCCCTGCCATGGGTCCCCCTCTCTCGTGCCCTTTGGGGGGGGCTGGGTTAAGCCCCTTCCCATTTCGGGGGGGGGGGGGGGGGGGCGGGAGCAGCGGGGCCCCCCCCCACCTCTCCACAATGCCAGGAAGCAACAAGCACTTTCTTACTCTGAGGGTGGGGAGGAGGGAGCCCCTGCCTGCCCCCAATCAAGGGTCTCCGCTGGGGGGTCCGGTCCCAGCCACTCTCCATCTCCTGGCTGGCCATCCCCGGCCTTGGGCCTCAACCCAACGGCCTTGTTCTCCCTGGGGCCTGCCCCCCCCCTTCAAGGAAGGCAGCTATGGGTTGGTGGCGTTGGACCTACGAGGGGGGGCTGCTCTGGGGGTGAAGAGCCCAAGACGAGATGGGCCCCCTCTTTTGGGGGCCAGGGACCAAACACTTCCTGGCTCAGCCTCTGGGGAGGGTGTGTGCGTGTGTGTGCGTGTGTGGTATGTGCATTCATCATGGCCAGTGTCCCATATTGTGTTCCCGGTGGGGGCTGCGGGCAGGAAATTCCGGCCTTCCACCCAGCCGGCCCCGACTGACACTCCGCCAGACCTCTGTAAAGATTCCCCAATAAACGGTACCAAATGGCTGCAGAAGTCTCTTTACGGGCACCGGGGGGGGGGGGCAACCCAGCACAGGGTGGGCGGCTCTGCCATCTGGTGCCACCCTGGCTAGCAGAAGAGGGGCAGAGCTCCCTCCCAGTCCTGCCTGATGGTGGGGCCCCGCCCCTTGGCTAGGCCCTTCCCCCTGCTGCTGCTGCTGTCCAAGCCAACTCCCACCCGGAGGGACAGCGGCTGCCAGGGAGGAGGAGGAGCAGGTGGGAATTGCCGGTCACGGATGTGTATGTGAATGTGTGTGCGTGTGCTGCGGCTGCCACCGGAGCCAAGCCCGCCCTGGGCTGCCTCGGCAGGCTGAGGTCGTGGGGCAGTCCTGCTCTGCTGCAAGGGGGGCAGGTCAGGCCAGTCCCATTCAGAGGGGCTGCTGGAGCTTGGTCGCTTCAGGCTGAGGAAGGGAGAGGGGGCCCGGGGTGGGGGGGAGCATTTGGGACGACAGCAGCCAGCAGGAATTGCCATGCGTGGATCATGACCCAGGCTGCAGCTGGCCCATCTAGGGCAGGGGCCCCGTCGCTCCTCCGCATCCCTTGGACCAACTGCTCTCACAGACGGGGGTCTAGCATCAATAACTAAAGACTCAAATCTCCCAGGCCAGATCCAGGGCTGTGTGTGTGTGTGTGTGTAAGCACAACAGTCACTTCATGTCTGGTCCCCCCTTTGCAGCCTCGCCCACTAGGCGCAGCCAACCACCCCTCGTAGCTCCTCATTCTCCAGGATCAGGACGGAGCCTCCCCCTGTCTCCTCTGAGCTCCTCTGGGCTTCTCTTTCCTAAAGGAAAAAATTTACTTCTAAAGCAATTCTACTCTGGCATACTTGGCCCACGACTGTCCCCGTTGAAGGTGTTTCTTAATTTGCTCTGATCGCGACTAAGAACAACTTTGTAGGTTGCCCATGTCCTTCTCAGAGGATTGATTTATTCGACAAGACAAGACAGGACAAGAAGCAACAGATGGAAACTAGTCAAGGAGACTAGAATTAAGGAGAAATTTCTGTCAGGGTGAGCAGTCAGTGGAACTGCTCCCCTGAAGAAGTTGTGGATGCTCCAACCCTGAAGGTTTTAAAGAAGAGACTGGACAACCACCCGGAATGGTACTGGGGGGGGGGGAGGGGAGTCCTGTTTGAGCAGGGCGCTGGACTAGATGACCTCCAAGGTGCCTTCCAGCCCTAGGAGTCTTATGTTCTGTTCTCTGGTGCCGCCAAGGCTTCCTCAGTCCTCCCAGAGTGTGTGTTTTGGTATTTAATCCTCATTCACTCTTGTCCAGAAGTGAGTCGCTTCGACCTCGACGCCCGTCCATCCCCTCCCTGAGCAGCACAGACATGTTAGCAGCCCCATTTTCTTTACCATTATCTTCAGATCCAAATTCCTGTTTGTATCAGGAATTTAACCTCTACTGCATAGCAGATACTTAGCCAAAACAGGGCATTGCCCATGTAGAAATGCCCGTCTACAACTGACGCACCTCTATGGTCACCACAAGCCACCTGTGCACTTCTCCATCATGACCACCACACCTTTTCCTGGGTGCGATTCCTGAATCCCTTCAGTCTCCCCCTATGATTCCACGCACCGTACTGAGCAGTCAACCTGCCCACAAAGCCTTCCTGCATCAATGCAGTTCATTTATTAACAGCGTGAGAATCGGGCATCCTACAGAAATCTAACAGCACCAACAGAATAAAATGGAACATCCCCCCCCCCCCATGGTGAAATTAAAGTATTAATGGAAGTTGGAGGAGGCAGGGACAATGCAGCCGAGCACGGCTAAATGCCCCTGGCGGTTGTCATCCAGGTTGGTTGCTGTTCCAGAGCTTCTTGGAAAACAAGCAGAACCAGCCCGGCCAACATTCAGGTCCCAAAACTCTTGGAGCAAGAAGGGGCTGGGCCCACCCAGAGAAGGCCACTGCAATTCCCAACTGGGCAGGCCCCAATTAGGCCCTTGAGGCACCTGACCTTGGAGGCGGGTCCCTGGAAGGGAGCCATAAAGAGACATTCACCCCACCCCCCCGCGAGAGCTGTTCTTTGGTAGAAGGGTGTTAGGTCTGCTCACAGCTTGGGCACCCAATCTGGCTCAATGCTAGCTTCCAAGGTTGCTTCTTGTGGGGGACTTGCTGTAATCAAGCTGAGTGGCAAGGAGGCCCAGGTCACTGTCTAGGGCTCCTGGGTCATAGTGAGAACCGCCGCCACCTGCTCCTCTAAATTGAGGGCCAGGAAGCTTTTCCTGTTACAGGCACATCTCTTCGCCTTCATGGGTGTGGCTGGGCTGGCAGGTCTCCAAGCCAAGCAATATGATGGCCGTTGGGGGAGGCTGCCCATAGGCTGCCACTGCCCCAAGGCCTAGCAATCTGCTACCCATCATTCTGTTCTTAGCTTGCAGAGATACAAAAACAGGCGGTGGGCTGAATTGTGCCTGCAGGTTGCAAGTTGCCGACCTCTAAACGAATAGAAGTACAAAGAGTTTTCATACCACTTACTAAAGAGCAAAAATCCAGTCATGATCGCTGTCTTCCAGTACTGCTGAAGGGCTGTCGGGGCCTGGATTTATTCTTCATAGCACCCGAGGGAAGGTGGAAGCTGATGAGAGTGAGATTCAGCCTGGAAATGAGGAATTTCCTGACAGAACAATTAGTGGAACTACTTTCCTCAGGAAGATGTGGGTGCTCCATCACGGGAGGTTTTCAAGAAAAGATTGGGCAACCATTAGTCTGGGATGATATAAGGACCCCACCTTGGGCTAGAAGACTCCAAGGTCCCCTCCAGGCCTAAAATTCTATAATTCCATGGTCTGCAGACTACCAGCCTGGCATATGAAGTTGTCACTGCCTAAGTGAATCACTCCCATGTTTTAACATTTCAGTAGTTACAGCATCCTCAGCCTTATAGTTTTTCAGCATTTTAAAAGCATTTACAACTTTCTTTCCATGCATTTTTTTCTTGAGAGACTAACATTTTGATTCCATTCTCTGAGGATGCATCTCATGCCTTCCATTCTCAGCCCAGATCACTGTTATTCTTTCCTGGACAGCCCACGACCCCTCCCACCCACGGCCAGCCTTTCAGAGGGTTTCCTTCGCAGACTTCCTCAGGCCCTTCAGCAGGACAGGAGAAAAGGCTCAGAGATGCCGCTGCTGCCTTGAAAGTCGCCCGCGTTGAATTGCAGTCAAGCACCAGGAATTCACCACAGGAAATGTTTTATGACATTTCGCACTGTTCATAAAATGTTTTATAACATTTGGCAAATTTCAGTTCCATGGCTTCCAAATTTTGGATGCATTCGGTGAAGTTAGCCCATTTGAGGCTAACCATTGTTCAAAAATGTTGCCGGAGGTCGCACCATCCTACAGCCTGGTTAAATCGCAGACAGAAAGGGGAGTTTTACAGCATTCAGGTTCCATTCCGTTCTGTTGGAGAAACCTGGTTGATCTTTCCTGGGCCATTTTTTTATCTTTCAATGCTTCTCTGCATTTCTCCTTCAATCTTTGGACCCTCGTTCTCCTCTCCTGCCCTCTGACCCCACAATCTTCGTCTGGAGAAGCATCTGCTCTTCTCATCCGGGGCCGTTTCCCTCCCTCGTCCAAGGCAAGCGAGAGACGCCACGAAAGCGGCCTAGCCGGGCAGCCGAGCTCCCACACAGCCCACCGGA